CCCGAGATTAAAGAAAAAAATACACAAAAACTGGATCCGAGTGCAGGTCTAAAACAGCTCGATCTGAGTCTACGATGATCGAACAATATATAAATCGGAAGGGAGATTTTTCACATTTGGATCTTCTCTGATTTCATGACTAAGAAAACGAATAAGATCTGAGGAAGAAAGAAACTGGTGAAGCAAAATCAGTGAACTGTACGCCATAGCGCGATAACCGAGCATGATCTGGTAATCGGATCCATCTTACGGGTCGAGATCCGGATCTTCAGGTGTTTTGGTTTGTAATTAATAAAATGGAATCGGCCAAACCGAACTAGTACCAATAAAACTCATCTGAACCGAACTTAACCAGCGTTTTATTCTCATTCAATTCCACAATTGATACTAGTCAGCCTAGTGCTTTCAATTTGTTTGTTTTTTAATGAAAATTATTCTACTTAGAAAGTTTCAAAACTTGCCAAGTTCAATTATGAAACAGATTACATTTTACAAATTGAAAGTTGCAGAGAGTTGACAAAAGCAATCCCCTATAAATGGAGATCCAACTCACCAAATGTGATACATAAACATCATCATAAATTGTAATAGCTACCAATCTCTCCAAATCCAAATCAACTCATCATGAGCTCCTACATAATCGAACGTACGTGAAGAAACCAAACAACCTTTTTAATTAGTTTCCCTATCAATTTCCACATCAAAACTTTTTTTATTTTTTCCCCTTTAATAATTTGTGATATATTTTAGCTGTCTTGTTTTTTTTTTTTTTTGGCAGCTCCACCGTATCAAAGTATGAACACGGAGGGAGACATTGAAGAAAAGACAACAGAAGTTTGTTGTGGAAACTGGTTTGTACATATATCATTTTTTTTGTTTTTTATCATAATTTGATTTTGATGGAAATAATCAAGGTTACTAATCTTTGCTCCAACCTTCGTAGTCACGGACTTGGAGAGTGTTTTTTATGTATAGGACACATCTGTCAGGGAATTTTGGAATGTCTCAGTTGCTTCAGTGGTTGTACTTGTTAGTGCTTTGATGATCTCATGCTTATTTTGCTCCGTTCCTTAATTTGCTGTTTCCGGTATGAAATG